TTTTATTAATGTTGAGTCTGAAATATACAATAAAATTAATGACTGTTAATAATTAAGTATTGATTCCTCTTAATAAGTGAGTTTCCTCTTTTTTGTTTCATGTCAAATCAGTTCATAGGTGTCGTATTACTTTTACCCATTTCATCACATTGCTTTCTTGTAAACCAATCTATTTCATGTGAAGTTTCCTAGACAGTGCTCTGGTGTTCCTTTTTCTTGAATTAATTTGTTAAAATAGGAAAAATATATTATCTTTCAATCAAAAGCATATCATGGTGATATGCTTCTGCTTTCAATTAAATACTATTATGAAACTGAAATATGACTGTCACGGTAAAATATGAATTCCTGTTAATTATTCATTTTCATGTTTTTAATTTATTGTCAATGGTGTGGAACAGATTAGCTTGTATTACTTTTTTTTAGTTCATCGCATCAATTTCTTTTGAACCAACTCACCTAAAATACAGTTTGCTAGTCGTTTTGTGTTTTTTTCTTAATACATTTCTTAAAAGGAAAAAATATATATTATCTCTTATTTAAAAAAAATTTTTGAATCTGTAATAATACAATAAAATTATATATAAAATACAATATTAATTCCTATCAACAATAAAATATTATTAAATGTAAAGAATTAATTCTCATCTTTTCCGTTCCATGTGTTTGTTGGGGATCAAATCAGACTGTAAGTATTATTCGTTTTTTTCAATTCATCACAACAATTTTGCTTTGAACCAATTTACTTAATGTAAAGTTGCCTAATGGTCTTTTTTTTCTTTTATAAATTTCCTCAAAGGAATATAATATTGTTTTTCATGTTAAAACCGTTTTGAATCTTAAATAACACTATGAAATATTCATTCCTATTAGCAATAAAATATTAATTTGAGCAATATTTATGTCTTCCTTTCCATGTGCTTGTTGGGGAACAAAATTAGGTTGTAAGTATTATTCTTTTTACCTCTTAACTCATCAATTTACATCAATTCCTTTTAAATTAATCTACCTAATGTTAAGTTACCTGGTTGTCTTGTGCTTCTACCTTTACTAAATTTCTTAAAAGGTGGAAAATATTTTCTTTCAATTAAAAGGCAACTATTTTCAATCTGAAATTAATAACACAATAAAATATCACTTTCTTTTTAGAATAAATTCGAAAAACATTTTAGGAAGAAAATTAACGAAATTAAAGCAACATGACGTTTCTTGATCACTCTCAAATAAATAAATAAATCAAAAGTAACTGCAAAGCACACTTATAAAAAATAGGAGGAGAGGAAATAATTAATAATAATAATAATTACCGTAATAATTCCCCTAAGCGACCACCCAAAATGTCAAACCAAGGTGCTCGCTTACGGGAGGTGGTCGCTTGCGAGAGCTTAGACAATATTGGGTCAAAATATGGCTCATTAGCATATGGTAACTGCGAACACTTACCCCATGTTTTTAATTGTTTTATTCATGTCACAAGTCGGTTTTGAGAAAAAAATCCGTTACTTCTCATTGCGATATTTCCGTCTCTTGTACTAGCCAGGATCACGATAATGTCACAGCACATTACTATCCAATTTGCGCTTTACTCTGTCAAGTGGTCGCTTACGAGAGATTAAAAACAATATTAAATTTTAAACCTTTAGTTCTGAAAGTGGTCGCGTCGCCTACGAGAATCGGTCGCTTATAAGCTGTTTCAAATATAGTGATTTGGCTTGCAAACTTTTGGTATTTTCACTCTATTTTCATTTTAAAACAACGTATGTTTCAGGACTGCCGTCGGGAAACATCAGAACTCTCGGAAAAACAAAACTAACTAGTTTCCTGATGGTTCATACATTAAGTTCCTTGTAATATATTTAGACTTTCCCTTAAACAATCATGCACATAGCAAAAACAAACAAACAAAGATGGCACAATTTCTTTATTTACAATCGTCAATACTGCTGAATGAAAAAGTCTTAACTTAATTACCAATGTCTCAAAGTACATGAAAAAGTAAAATATGCTTTTATAACCTCAATAACGAATACAAAATCATTTGGAATTGTAAAAATTGATGGTAACATTTTGCTTCAGAAAATGTTCCTGCGTAAAAGTTTACAGTCTCCTTGCTATCGATGCGAAATTCTGCATAGTTACAGGGGAGTTTGGCACTGTGTTTCTGTCAAGGGAATTTTCACTTGTTTGCTCATGCATCGCCACAATTGCATTGCTAGCTCACTAAAGATTTTCAGCAGAACAGGCACTACTGAGAGCATGGGAGATTTCTTTCTGCTTAACCTCCGAAAGACGCCTGGAGTAAGAGCGAATGCAGCTCTCATATTTGTGTCCTGAAACATGCATTACGTGGCGAGCCTCAAAATTTCACTCATCCAAGAGCGACACGGCCCTTGCCCTAATACAGTGATTAGTATTCTTTTTTGAAAGTTTCAGCTCTTTAGAAATTGAACTCATGAAAGTTCCAAGTGTATTTTTCCCGCGGGGCACATTACAACACCAGACTTCATCAGAATGGCTAAAATTTTCCGTCGCTCGCTACTTTTGCCACAAGCATGACAGTGCTGGATTTAGCTTAGACAGATAAAGTTCAAAAGTTTTAACTGGACAGTAGGGACTCTCAGGGGAATAATTGTTAAGTGGTGATCAAATCCTTGCCGCTTCAATTCGACGATTGCCGCCTCAAAAATTTGATTTGATTTGGAGAATCCTTCTAGGCAGACTTTTTGTAGCTGTCTTCGTTCTGTTTCTTTGCGTTCGGCCAGAAATTCGCCAGAAGTTCATTCAATTCCTTCTTGGGAATTTCTTTTAGCGATTTTGTATTTTTTACCTGCTCATCTTCTGGTTTGACTTTGTTCCTGTATGCCAGGGATATAACAATAGCGTTCTTGGTTGCTTCTCTCGTATTTTCAGAATCTTTGCCTTCAATTAAGTGCTGTATTTCTTCCTCTGATAATCTAGAAAAGCGTTTTCTTTTAGCCTCACTGGTTTCCATTATCGATCATTGCTGGTTGAAACTGAAAAATGGCAGTGTTCTTAGGTCCGCCCTTGTCAATCAAGTTGACGTGGGCACGTGCTGAAGATCAGTGCACTGATCACGTGCTGTTGTATTCGGCGCGCGGGCAACAACTGCGCAATTGTATCCTGGTTGGGAAACATTTGAATTTGATCAAGAGCAAGTGACCAAGAATATGGTAACAACAATGCTCGTGGTGTTGAGTGAAAGTCTAGGTATATAACAATGTTGATTATTTCCACAAGACTTCTTTTTGCAAGAATATAAGAACTTAAAAGGGATATTTTTAAAATTAAAATATCCTAAGAAGCTCATCGACTCAGATCAGTTATCAGTCACCTCCAGCATCCTCCACACCCAGTTGAAACACAATTTGACACCCCCCCCTTCGGATTACGTTGCCATTCAAAGTTCAGAAATCGGCTGAGGTGGTTCGCAGGGAACTCAGGTAACTTGGAACGAACATTAATCAACAAATTTCCTACAACAAATTTGCTTACAAATTTGCTTACAAATTTCTTTACAGGAAAGAAATTCTTTCAGTTAAAAACTTCTTAATCAAGAATTAAAACAATAAAATATTACTTCCTATTAATAATAAGACATTAATTCCTGTTAATATATCTTTTCTTCTTTTCCATTTTATCATCAATGTTGGGGAACAAATCAGCTCGTAAGTATCATTCTTTTTACTTTCCGATTAATCACATCAATTTCTTTCAAACAATTTTACTTCATTTCCATTACACTGTACCCAATTAATTGATTTTCATTTTTTTCCACTATGTTTTCGATATTGGGGAACAAATTAGCTCGTAAGTATTATTCTTTTTACTTTTCAATTCATTACATTAATAATGGAGTAATAAATCTACCCAATGTAAGCTTACCTAGTGGTTTTGTGTGTTTTTTCTTTAATAAATTTCCTTATAAGGAAAAAACAGTATCATACAATTATCAACAATTTTGAATTTTTAATAAAACAATGGAATATTAATTCCTAATGACAATAAAAACACTAAATCCTTTTAATAACTGATTTTCATCCTTCCATTTTCTTGTCAATGTTGGGGAACAAATCAAAGGGTAAGTATCATTCTTTTTACTTTTCAATTCAGTGCAACAATTTTCTTTTGACCTGATCTGTTTTTCC